AAAATAACATATGAAACGCTTGGATTAAAGCAACATAATCTTAAAACATTGCACTCTAAGGTGTAACAATCGATTCCAAGTGGAAGGGATTCAATTGCGTTATCTCATTGTCTGCAACCTATTGTTTTGTTAGTTGTCACTCATACTTGGCAGTCAGCCAGTGGAGAACAAAGCCAGAACAGAAAAAAGCTTCTCCGTGTGTGTTTGCAAAACCTACAGGGTCAAATGAGCTGTACTTGTGAAACATTTAATTTTACACAATACTGCTACAAAAAATGTACATTTTACAGAAATTTCAGTCAAATCAAAACAGTAATTAAATAAAACAAATTCAAATGTGAATATCCCTTCATGTAAATCTGTAACAGTACCCTTCTGAAAGAGAACAATCTAAGCAGGCTGACACAACATCCCTTGTCCTTACTGGTCTCTTGAGAAAATTGAAATCCGTGGCTTATTTGAATAATCAGTTTGGTCGCAGACACAGACACACACCCTGACTGAGACACACATCTCTATTCCAATGTTGGCCCCTGTTTATTTATTTGCTACATGTCTGGACTTACCCATCCAGATGTTGTGTTGTAAGTGAGTCAGAAACGGGTCCCTTAATTGAATCAACAAACCCTCCTGTTGGATTGAGACTAGCCCACGGATCTATAGTAATATACAGCCCAGGGAGGAGGACAATTCCATTAGTGGAGGACAGACAGTGACTGGAGACTGATAATGCTGAAGACAGGGTCTCCTTCTTGCTTCACTACCATTTAGCTGGCTGGCATTCGCCTACAGTTTTCTAGCACTAATCAGAGCTATTTGCATACACTAATTTGTTGTCAACAGCATCCATGAGTCTGTACTGTCATGTTATCACAACAGTGAAGATAAGTGGAGCAGATTCATGCTCTGCTCCTGTTTAGATGTTTGGATGTCAATTGGACCAGTTGTTTTTGAAATATTCATCACAAATCCAAACAATGTTACTGAGACTGAAAAATACCATCAGCTCAATCATGCTTCCTAACATCCAAATGCATGCCTCCTGTTCAAAGAGAGCACAAAAATGTTCTTAGTCCCTTGTCTTTTTAATGGTAGACTGCATGTGTTTGATATAGCGCCATCTAGGATTCTACAACCCCCTAAGGTGCTTTACTACAGTTATTCACACACACACACACACACACACACACACACACACACACACACACACACACACACACACACACACACACACACACACACACACAGGTGGTGATAAACTACAATGTAGCCACAGCTGCCCTGGGGCGCACTGACAGAAACAAGACTATCAAGCACTGGCGCCACCAGCAGGCCATGTGGGTTAAGTGTATTGCTCAAGGACACAACAACTGTGGCAGTCTGAGCGAGACTTGAGCCTGCAACCTTCTGATTATGGGGCGGACACTTGACTCGTCAACCCATCGCCCTAATCAAACTAACAGATGCTTTTTCCTAACTATTTGGGGAACGATGTTGCTCTCGTTTTTAAATTAATACAGGAAAAACGCATTGAACTTTTCTTTCTGAAGTCCGCTACCTCGATTAAATCACTAACACACACACACATACACACACACACACACACACACACACACACCTTATTAGAGCACCAGTTAACGTGATTTTGATCCGTTCAATTTCATAATTTATTCTAATATTATGAATGGGTTCCTTACCTACAGATCTCTAGAGGAGTGCCCAGTCTGTCCCATTCTAGCAGTATCACCATAGCCACATCGTGACATTGTTTCTCCAGCATTGCTTTTATTCCAGTGTGACTGCCGTTCACATGCTCGGCCATTTCCAAGGAGATGTTCCTCAGAATGGAGACAGTTCAGTGCCTCCTGCTGTTGTCCCTGAGCAGCTTGCTATGCTTGAAGCTCCATGATATTTGCTACATACACACTGTGTTGTATTTGAAGTGCGTTCACAAATCCTCTATCAGAAAGGCTCACACTGATGCTTCTTTGTAGCTTGTGAGCAATGCAGAGCATGTTCTCACCACCATCTCCTTTGGGTCTGCCATGCTGCCAAGCACTGAACGCTGCACTGGTCAGGGTTGGAGTAAGGGTCATTGCAATGTGTCGCATTAACTCCACAAATTAATCAACCTGCATTATTGTGTTCATTTTGACAGCCCTTGTTAAAGAAAGAAATTAGCACAAGGAAGTTAGCCAATGAAAAAGGGGACAAACATATGGTGCAATACAATAAAACCAGTGCAGTGGATGTTGATGGTTTGTTTACAGTATACGATGATTCAGTATAAGATTCACTCTTGTGTCTGGTAAATTAAAGTGACCCAATTTCAGCAGCTTGTACAGACTTAGGGTTGGGTGTGATGAGTGGAGCTCTAATCTTTGGATTATTGCCACATTACTAAAATCTCAGCAATCCCATCATGGGTAATAGATGTGATGGCTGGACCTGAGTTCAAAACAGTAATATTTCCTTTATTTACTTATGAACACTGTGGAAGTATAAAACCTGCACAAAGTCTGGTGTGTTTGTGATTTGGAGCCCCTCCCAGCAAACAGTTAGATTTAGTTTACATTTCTCAGCCAACCTCTAAAATGTTGGGTCAAATGAGTAAGCCAGACTGGGTCAGGCTTTTGGTAAAGCCTGTGATGAAAGCCCACCACTCTTGTTTTTATTGTCCACTCTCCACCAGGCAGAGTGTTGTGGGAACTCTGAGACTTGTGGCTGCTGTTTGATCACACGATGGGAGTCTGACCTGTCACTAAGTGGTGGCAAACATGGCCCACACACGGAGCAGCGAGCATCTAGGAAGCTATATGTGTGTGTGTGTGTGCTTCCCACACACAGTGCTACATACCTCACCAGAACAGGCAGGTCACAGCATGCTAGAGTGTCGAGGATTCATAATGGCCATTTAGCCTTCAACAGCTAATATCAGCACTGCTGATTTACAAGGAATTTGGTTGTTCAGTTTCTGGACTTTGGGAGCTGCTTGAGTCAAACCTGTTTGGCATTAGGTGGCAGGAACATCCCATGCATAAATAGGTGCACATGTTTAAATGCATGTCTGATTAATAACAAGAACTAAAGTCCACAAGCAAACCTTTTCTCCGTTTGGCAGCATGGTTCTGGTGACCAGCTGTTTGCAGCCAGGCAGAGTGACAGGAACCGGAGGGACACGCTGAAACTCCGGGGACTGTGACAGAAGCATGGTGACAAGTGATGACGACGCCCTCTCTCATGCATGCATTCCCAAACTTCACAGGACAGCACCCTCAGCAACAAGACAAGGCGGAGATCATGCATCATGCTAGGCTAATAGCCGCGATACGCTTTGCTGAAGTCAGCTTTGATAGAGGCTGTGCCCTGTGATCACTGCTGATGGCGGAACAATGTGACTCGTGGATGTCGGATTGCATACAGAGAAATGGCAACTTGACCCATAAGTAGTTTCTGAGTCCTGCTATAAAGAATCTGGGTCGAAATGTTTAAGAAGTTGAACAAACGAAGTTCGCACGGTTTGAGATGAATGATCTGCTGGATTTGACCTCCAATTCAACTTCAAAACAAACTGTTGGGAAGTATCAGCCTAGCGCTAATGGAGAGTTTGTTTGGTGTTTGTTCGATCTATTTGTTGCACTGGCAAAGTGTACACAACACGTGCATGAAGGTTCAACCAGACACACACGTACAGAAAAAATACAGTTTTGACTCCCAAAGCTTAGATTCTTTACAAAAACACACACACAACTAGTCTCTGTGACCAACTGGAGACCAGAGAGACATTGACATGACCCAGATAATCGGCCCAAAGTCTTTCCTCCACAATTTGATCAATTTGCTGTTTCCTCACAATTGCAGGCACCGTGCTGTCCCCCGCAGCTAGTCCCCCCCCCCCCCCCCCCCAAAAAAAAACCCGCTCAGCCATGCAGACACATCCCTGCTCGCCACAGCAAGATGTTCTGCCTTTCTCCCCTTTTCCCCCCAAATCACTGCTAAGCCTGCCTGATGTCTGCTGCCGCGACACAAACGTGCTCTTGCTCCTGTCGTCTCTTAGCAAGCACAGACAGGAGGGAAAAAAGCTGACAGTTTGTCTTGTACCATATGCCACGCGGCAGCAATGCCTAACTGATATGGCCAGAGTTTGGGCCACCGCCAAAGGCTCTTTTTTTTCTCCATCTATTTCTTTTTTTTTCGTCTTTGCATGTGTGTGCATCTTGCAAGGAAATGTTGAATAAAATCACAGTTCAGCTGTCAGCAGGGTGGATTTAGTGCCTCGGTCCTGCGAGCCCAGAGAGCTGTATCAAGTGTTATTTAACCAAAACTGTAGGAAGTGATATCCGGTTTGGGGATGCTGCTGCTTACTGAAAGCATTAAAGATTTGCTGTGGTGAGGAGATCACTAAAGAAATATTATTTTCCACAGAAAGAGACAAAAAGGTAAGAAACAACCCCCTCCTTCTTTCCGCCTGAAGAAATGTTGGTTTTCAGTGAAGCCTCTCAATCATGTACTTACCTGTGGGGGTCTTTGCACACACACACAATACCTAGGCTGGAATTTGAGCAATGCTGTCGATTAGTCTGAAACGGACTTGTGCTGTTCAGGCTTAGTAAAAGCAAATTTGTTGCTGGTGATGTTTTTAACTCTGGGGATAGCTCTGCTTTGATCACTTTCTTCACAGAGTAGAAAGACAGGTCAAATATCCCCAGGCATGCTACAAATGTCAGAAAATTAGGTATTTGCTTACAGCCAGCAGGGTTAAGAGGAACACGTGTGTTTGTCTTAGACTGAAATTACAGAGAACTGATTCTGTTTCATGCCTCAAAAAAGGTGGAATTTGATTCTTTATATAAAAGTGACATTTCAGAGGCGATGGGATAAATGTCAAATAATCACTGGATTTGTGTCGGTATAGACCAAATGTTTTCTTTTTAGAAAGTTCTTTCCAAACAGAAAAAATATTTTTTAGATTTAGACTATCAAGCATAGATAAAAAAACATTCTAAGCAAATAGTTTTGTTGTTTATTTAGCATATTTTAAAGGTGTAGGACGCTCATTCAATCAATACATTTGTAGGGGTCTCTGGTAAGAATGAATGCCTTGGAAGCCATAGTTGATGCAAAAAAATAAATAAATAAAAATAAAAAGCCCAGAAGTGTCTGGATCAGTATGGACAAGTCTGCTGCAGCAGAGATTGGCACAACACGGCAACATCTAGTCTTATTTCCTGATATTTGGTAGACATGTGTTGTCTCCACAAATAACACAAGCTTGGAGAAGCTTCTGCTGTGTGGTGAAGTTAATAGTGCTAATGGTTAGTTTTTGCTAACCGAGACGTTCTCTGCTGTTTCCTGGACGCTAAAACAACAGCCTTCCTCATCGCTAGCCAAGTTTGGCGAGTCCATGCGACCGCTTGACGTAGGGTGGCCAGGCTTTTAAAAATCTTGGCATTTCTAATTTCTATCAGAAACTAATGCAGGAGAAAGGTGTAGGAGACTATTTTCATGTTCAGCCTGCATTAAAAAGTCTGAGTGACAGATTATAATCAGAAATAGCAAATAAAATCCCCAGTATTCCACACCTTTAAAATCTTTGAAAACATTTTCTACACCAAACCCTTTTGATGAAAGAAATCCTCAAATTCATCTAGTTTCAATTTAAGAACAAATTTTACAAATTAGATGAGTACACTCAACATAAGGGTTATTTTTTTTATTGTTGGATTGTATCTAAGACAAAAGCAAGTAGAATGTCTTTAAAAAAGAATAAAAATGTCCTTTAGTCTGTGAAAGATTAAATGTGAAGCTTTTCAGATGCTTCCAAAAGAGTGTGACTCGTCTTGTTATTCACATGTCCGCTTCAGCACCAACCAAAACGGGAACTAGGACATAATGGTCACGATGTTCGCTCCGATGGCTTCATTGCCACCTCCGCGAAGGCTGTTGTGAGAAAGCACAGGAGCTGATGAAAATTGTGACAGGTGAGTGACAGATGCCTTGAGGAACAAGAGGTGGAGAGGTGGGTGATGGTGGAGGCGCGTTAGCCAGCAAGGAGCAGCACAGCGCCACAGGTGAGAAGGTGCCAAAGAAGACGTCTGATGCACCTTTGATGGCCCTGGCAGGCAGCGGTGACACAGGTGAGAGGCGAAGCGAGGGGGGAGGGGCTTCCAGGCTCTTCACAGCTGCTCCTCTGCGCCTGTCAAACAAATTTACATAAAAGCACTCTGAGAAAACGCTATTGTGTTGTTTATTTTAAGTCAATGTGAGACAGAGTCTTTCTTCCTTCTACAACTTCATAACAGCTGCTTGATGAAATCGCTGACTGCGTCACTCTCTCCCCCTCTCCTAATCTTCCTTAAACCCAATCAAATTTCATTTTGTGTTCATTTAACTGCAGATAACCCTAACATTTGGCAATAGCTTGTGGTGTAATGAGAAACCAGAACAGCGATCTGACCTTGGCTTGACCAGTATAAGTAACTCTTACAGCTCCCGCACATCTTATTAACCTGTAATAGTGATGATTTGATGCATGAATGATAGTGTGTGTTGCTCTGCTGATAACCATTTGTGTCAACATTACAACAGCAGGGGAAAATTTACCGTTAGAACAAAAAAAATGTAATGAAATCAGGGTCAGACCGTGACAGTCAGTTAATCTAATAATTAATAAACAACTGATACGTCTCTAATATAAACCAGTCAAACAGGAGAAATGACAGAGTTAAAGAAAAGTAACAACTTGTTGAATTGTGGCAAAACCAAAGTTTAAAAATTATTTTTTGTACTTATGAGAGAACATGTATAATTGCATCCATAAGCCAACAGTGATTGTTGAGAGCCTTGACAAACATATTTATTAGACCTAACATCGTTCTGAGTCCAGAGACGTGGGTGATATAGAAGGTTTCACCTCTACTGCCCCAGCACCCAAGCATGGTGCTTTTCAAGCAAACTAACAACTTACAGCTGAATGCATTCACCTGGAAAACGTCACCCAATGACTGCTGATGACTGCACCATTTTCCCTTGAGCCTACTGAGGAATGATCAGTTTTGCGCATGATCTGCAGCTGGTGAAAATGGAAGTTCGTTGGGAAGCCACACGGACCCTAATCCTCAGTGTAAATGAAGCCTGAGTGAATTCAGTCTCTGAATATCTAGCTGCAAGGTAAAAGTTATGTGAATCAGTATTTGTCCAACATGATAAAGTATTCAAAAATACTGTTAAAGAAGCCGCATCCAATACTTATGGCTACTGAGGTGTTTTACCTGGAGTTACCTGGCTTGCTGATGTCCATTTTATCCTGGTGATAGTTTGGTTTGAATTAACTGTCTGAACGCCAATGTTCTGATGTTCTTTGATGTATTAATTGAGATTATTGCGTACACATACACCCACCACTGTGGTCAAAAACCATAAGCTCTTCCGGGTTAGCACCTGTCATCAACAGTGAAGCACTTCCTTATATAGTATACCCAACACAATAAACAACAGCGACCCCACATGAGCCAACAAAAACTATATCCATAATGATTGGCTCCTACACACCAGCCCCTAACTGTTACAATCAACTGACGTAACAACTAAATAAATATATATGTATGTATAGAAGCCATAAACATACCAATAAGACAACAGGACATGTACCAATACATTTTACACCTCATGCTCTAGACACAGTTTTGTTACCAGCCTTTCAATAACACCCGTTTTTGTTTGTAACTTCACTGAACGTACAAGCCCATGCTTGTCTGGAAAAACCCTTAGAACCCTTCCTAATGGCCATGAACCACGAAGAGCTGAAGAGTCCATGATGACAACTATGTCTCCATTAGTTAGGTTCCTCTTCTTGTTATTCCACTTCTGTCGTGTTTGGAGCAAAGGCAAAAACTCTCTTCCAGAAAAGGTTTGCATGGTACTGTATTTGTTTGCAAGTCAGTAACCATAAGAACAACATTTTGAGTGTTGTGTATTTTTCAGAACAAAATGTGAAAAATGTATTTATCATCAAAGTGAGTCTAATAGCCAGTTGAGGTGGCTCGGGCATCTGATTAGGCTGCCTCCTGGATGCCTCTCGGTGAGGGTGTATGCCGACCCCAGATAAGTGGACAAAAATGGATGGATGGATGGAAAGATATGTGTGCAAGAACAATAATTAACCACATTTGTTTCCAAAACCAATCAGGTTGCAGTTAGTTTGTTACTCTGAGGTAAAAATGTCTTCACGTTACACCAGTTTAGTTTTCAGCTCCAGTTTTCAACATTAGCAGTGAAACGAAGGCCAGAATTTCCAGAACAACTGACCTATTTTCATTTCAGACCTAAGCCAAGCCAGCTTTTTTATGAAGACCTTTAAAAATAGCCAACACTTAACAAAGTGCTGAACACCAGAGCATAAAAACATGTAATAAATAAAAACAATAAATCATAAATATAGTTTTAAATAATTGCTCAACTGTGAAAAAAAACAATAAAATGCTAATAATTAAAACTGGACTGAAAGCCAAAGTAAAAAGGTGGGTCTTGAACATTTTTCATGTTTCCAATCAGGAAGCTTTCCTATGTGCCGACAATGAGTTCCACAATTTAGGGCCAGCAACAGCAAAGTCAATGTTCCCTCTGAGCTGACACTGAGTTCCTGGTTCATGCAAAACCAGCTGGTCAGCTGACCTGAGTTACAGAGATGAGGATGTGGGATGCATGAGGACCGTGCAATGATTTAAAAACAAATCAATTCAGTTTTGAAAGAACTCGATAGCCAGCCAGTGCAGTGAGGATAAAACAGGAGTTATGTGTTCTCTCCTCTGTATGCCAGTTAAAAGCCGAGCATCAGCATTCTGCACCAGCTGAAGGTGCAAAGAAGACTGACTAATGCCAAAGTGCAACGAGTTAAAGTATCCCAGACAAGTTAAAATATAAACATTGATTACTCCTTTAAAATATTTTGCAGACAGTATTTCTTTAATCATATAGCTTGCTTTCTCCAATAAAAGCAGCTTTATTTGATAACAACACTGAAATGACTGTCCATCTTAAAATCTCCATCCACCTTAAAGCTTATAATTGTCACGGTTGGCTTTCTGAACACAGCAAGAGGGTTCAAGTCTGTAGGAGTGTGTCTGCTAAAAGTATAACCCTTTCTTTTTATTGTTAAAGTGATAATGTGTAGTTTTTACCTGGAAATATCCATCGAAATGTTGTACTAAATGACTTAAAAATGCCCAGTTATTGAGAAATATTGGCAGTTTCATGACATATAACCATAAAAATCTGGTCTAAAACACATGGAGCGGGTCTAAGTCTCTGGGCGACGCCATATTGGATGCCGTGTTTTCTTCTGTGGAAGTCTATGAGGACAAAATGCATTTACTGATTTGAAACAAATGGTTACAAAACTTTCACCATTAATAAACATTGTTGCTTTGCACATTTACCTCTTCACTCGTTGCCAGTGATGAAAGGGAATCTGATGTTCTTGCTATTTTGCTGGAGGTTGCACTCCCAGGGATTTTTGACCCTAATGGTCATCTGTTGGTAAGGTCTTATTTGAACACAAAAAGAATGCTTGCTTGCAGACATTTAGAGATTCTATCGTATCCTTTCCTTTTGAGAGGCAGATGCATCTAAGTGCCATCTGCATAGAAATGGAGGGCAATCTTTTGCCTCCTGAAACTGAACCATAAAGGCAGCAGATACAAACTAAAAAGCAGAGGACAAGTAACAAGCCCTGTGGAACACCTCAGGACGACGGAGCAGAGGAAAAGTGGAAACAACCTCCTGACACAGAAATTTCTCTGTGTCAGGTGAGGCTTGAACCTCTCCAGTGCAGGTTCACAAACGCCAACACAGCGCTCTGAAAATATCATGGTCCACTGTGTCAAAGGCAACAGTCAAGTTAAAATTACGATGCAGATTAAAACCCTAAACAAAGTAGATTCAGTGCTGCTATGACGCTTAAACCCTGGCAGGAACATTTCCAGAACAATATTGACACCCACAATGCTTTTAGTTGACTTTAAACAATTTAGCCATCATTTTGTGGACAAAGGGGCGTTTGGAAATGCGCTTAAAGTTTGCCAACACATGGGGTTCAGACCAGGCCTTTTGATCAGAGGTTGCACTATTGAGTGTTTAGAAGTGTTGGGATCCACACCTGATGAAAGAGTGCTATTTATTATAAAGAGAACAGGTGGACCTAGAATGGAGTGAACCTCTGTAAAAAATTTGAAATGGATCAGTATCCACGGGGGAACCTGAGGGCTTTCGATGACCAGAGATAGACGGATTTCCAGGCTCAAACCGATGGGAAGCAGCAGTGCATGGAGTCTGAAGGATCGACAGAAGAAGGTGGTGTAAGGGGTTCTGGCATTGTTCACTTTTTCCAGGAAGAAATTTAGAAAATATAGTCTTTTGATGAACTAATTATATGCTTTTCAAAATCTGACCAGTGAATGTGACGTGTCCAGACTGCAAAAGAAACAAGTAATGCTCTCTCTTGTTGTAATAAATGCAAGTAATAGATTTTATGCCTATATGAAAACAAAGTTCTAATTTTACAGGAGAATTAATTAATGCACTTTACTTTGTAATAAAATTATTTCCAGTTGTTTCAAACATATTACAAATCAAGGGCGTCAGTTTGTTTTCAGAATTGCTGGGGACAATAACCATACACTTGAGTGGGGTTTAAAAATTGCTGGGGACAATAAAGTAGGCTAGCAAAGGGGTCGGCGGCTCTGGAGCCGCATGCGGCTCTTCCATCCATCTGATGCGCTCTCTGTGCTCTTAAAATAATGAATGGATGTTTAAATAAAATGCTTTATATGTTACTGCATTAATTTTACATCTGTATGCCAATTCTAAATGTAAAGATTGTCTGCGTAAACCTGAACAGGTCCAACCCGGTCTGTGAGACCGGGTTGACGCGTCACGCTTGTGCGTAATCATATCGGCGCTTCTGAGCTGGAGGATGTCAGATTCTGGGCTTCTCCTCAGACAGGTTCCTGGATGCGTCGCCACATTGGAGACAGGAACAAGCACTATTCAGCCAAAGTTTCATAATCAGGTGTGGCAGTGTGAGTGTCCTGTCACAGTGTCCCGATAATGCGCCCTGGCTACTTGGCCAAGGGGATGTCCCTTTGGCTGACTGGTTAGAGGGTATGACTCTCACCCGGGAGTCTGGGGATCAAATCACGCCCGGGCCCTCGTTTTTCCACCTTGCCACATATTGACGGATAAATGCGATAAGATTTCCTCCCACTGAAGCGTTCTGGAAACCCGGTCTCTCTGAGGGATGTGTCACTTGGAAAAATGTTCTTTTTATGAAATTATGAAACTTTGGCTGAACAGCGCTTGTTCCCGTCTCTAATATGGAGACGCATGACGCGTAGAGACATTTGATCACGCACAAAGTTTATGTGGAGCAGAAGCGGTCGGGCCACGGCAGGTGGAATGTTCCTAGCCTACATGAAGTCAAACTGTTTAATTGTAACATTAATATGTTACTGGACACGCTGGTCTGGTTGGTTAGACCAGTGTTTGAAGTGGAAAACACACACACACACACACACACACACCAATTAAAATAATGCTGATAGCATGGACTGGAAGCCAGGTGATAGTTTACGTATTTAAATGATGATCAGGCTGCTGTAAAATGTAATCTCCATCCACATCCAGACAGAATCATCCTCTATTCTTGCTCTATTTGCTCTGCTCTTGTCTGGGCTGATCAGCTGATGGCGCGCCTAACTAGCGGCTGATGCACATTTTACGCATTTGGAGAGGTGGACTGGATGCTTTGCGTTTACTGGAAGATGGTCCACTTAACGCACGGGTGTAGACTAAATATTAATGACAAATGAATGAAAATTAAATTGTGAGTTTTTACTTCATATTTTAGAAATAAAAATGACGGGGGAACACATTTATGACGTCTTTTTAAACTAAGTTTTCTAGCGCGACCTGCCTGTTTCACTTAAGTCACTGCTTATTAAGGTCCATCCAGAATTACTGTGGGAAATGGGTAATAATGGCTCTTTGATGGGAATAGGTTGCCAACCCCTGGTATAAGATATGAGCTGGTAAAACAAAAATCCTCATCGGCAGGCATTTTTGAAAGTGGGGGGGACACAGCTTCCAATCACAAATTTTGCCGGGGACATGTCCCCGGTGTCCCCGGTTAAAATGACGCCTATGTTACAAATACAACTTTGTTAGAAGAGTTAAATAATTAGTTTTATCCTTTAACATCTAAAAACACAATGAAAAAAAGAAAAGTGCATGAACAACTAATAACTTTGACAATCAACTAAAACAAATACTGTTTTTCTCCCCATGCAGATGAAATATGAATTAATCAGATGTGTGATATTTTATTCAGGGGGCCTCCATTGTAAGCGGGGCACCCATCTGTCTCTCATCTCTCTAGTCAGCCATGTCACTTGTGACTGAAGTGAAAGAGAAAGAGAGCCTCTGTCTGCCTGCTTCACGCAGCTCTTTGCTGCTGCTTAGTGTCACTGCCACTCACCCGCCGTTCTGATGTGTTCGCTCCTCTCCACCTCCATTAACATCACTCTCGGTCGACACGCTTGCAAATGGAAAGGCCGTTAGAATAGGGGGGGAAAGGGAAACACTTCATTTATGTTTTAGGTGAACACGAACACCTAAAAGACAGAACAAGAGCGGTGCGTTTTTATTTCCATATAAGCAGGCTTGCATTAACAAAAACATTTCTGTTCTGAAATGCTGCTTTCATACTTTGATGTCCGCCGGTTGTTTTCCAGCCAAGCTAGCTTAGGCCCCTCGGTCAGTGAATGGAGATGTTTCAAGCCGACTGAGTGACAAGGTGCCCGAGAGGTCAGCATTCTAAAGGGGCGACCAATTGGATCATGACCCATGAGGGACAGATATGGGCAAGGGATTTAGCCTCAAAGGTCGAGGTGGGGTCAAGGAGTGTCTTGCATTCCAGACTCCTAATCCTTTCCCTGCTGTCTGGAACGCTGGCCTTCACTGCTGTATGCCATTCACACGTACACGTGTGCACCTCTTGCATTTTCTGAGTCTGAGTGCAGCACTTGTACTGTAAGTTAAGTGTGAACCTTGTGGTGATAGACTAAACATTTAGATCCTCCTATTCTTTGCCTAGAGCAGAGAAAGTGTGGGCTTTAGGTGCCCTCTCAACTCAATTTCCTGACCTTCCACTTAACCACCCGCCTCCTGCAGGGCAATCGAGTTTCTCCGATGCGGAGACACCAGCGTGTCGGGATGTAGGTAATTTGTCAGGGCAACCCAATCCCCACTTTTCATGCGCGTGTCAGCAGCAAAGCATGTGTGTGTGTGTGCACCTAGGGTCTTTCTCTGGGAATCCTTCAGAGCATGTCGCCAGTCTAGGCAACCCCAGACTGTTCAGTGTCAGCGGTTGTGTAAGCAGTGGCCATGCTGGCAGCCATGATTTGGAAGCTGGGGCATCCAGGTCATAGCAATCTGAGCCATCCATCAGCCTCAAGTGAAACACACGCCATCCAACACCAGGCAGCATTTGAGCTCGGCTCGCTTAAAAAAAAAGAAATATAAAGTTGTGGGTTACGCGCAGGGACGACATGCCCCGGATGATTTTGGAAGCTGAACCTGCTGACATTTATACCCCACAAACCCCACGAACATGAAGGTAAAAATGGCTCCTACTGCGGCTTAGGCAGCATGTAACGCAACAGTTTGTGTGTATCAAAGCACACCCGGCATGAGCCTCTCAGTGTTTGTGTTGGAAAAGCCCTCCTGCCGGGCCTTCAGTTGTACCCCCACCCTACATCCCCCGACCCACTTCCTACGCACTACGCTATACCAAACAGAGCCAAATAAAACACAGGCTAACATAATGTAGCAGCATGTCAGCGGTGGGCCCTGGAGCGAGGCTGAAACCCGACCCACTCTGTACCAGCCATTAGGACAAGAGTTAAAGCAGCTACGGTTTCTTTCTGGCTGTGCAGCCCTTATGTTGCCCAGCGCAGACCCCGTATGTGTCTGCAAGCAGCAGATTGAGTGATGTATCCTGTGTGGCTGTGGTGTGTTCAGAGCACCAGAGGAAAGTCCCAGAAGGGGCTACTTCTCCTTCACCCCCCCCAAGCCACTGCACTTAATCAATTTCTCCACTGGGAATGGCCTGCTACTGGATATGAAGATCTGATGGAGCTCGTGCAGAGAGAAGACAAAAGCAGACAAACCGAATTAAAGACACAAGCTGTGTCAAAATTTGGAAGAAAAAAAAAGTGCTAACTACTTGGATCGTCATGCAGATTTTTTAAGTCTCATCCTAACTCTGTTACAGGGCATTTGCAAGGTGCGTGTTCAGGTCTTTAAAGATTCCTGCAGACTTATGTAGTGTTAATTCTCATGCTGTCAGTGGGAGGACCCGTTGCATGTGAAAGGGTGTGGAGGAGCAGAATTCTGGCACCGGATCTTAAAATCGGCTGGAATGAAACTAATGAAGTGAGAGCTGATAGTAGCTGCATTCAAGCATAACTCTTCTCGCTTTAGATATACGAAGAACTCAGTCTTCACGCAGCACTGGCACAGAATCCGAATTTTAAGATCACAGTTTTAAAATGTGATCACTTATCACTTTTAATCACTTGTGATGCTAAACTGGGAGGAATCCTGTCAGTAAGGGCAAAGACCATTAAAAGCTCCACGAGCACATGGGCCTCACGTTAAAGCACATGGTATGGCTCCTAACCTCAGATGCAGGCTGGGTGTACAGATCCTGTGAAGGTGAGAAATACCTAACATCATCTTGTGTTGATGGTAACTCTAAAACTTCAGAGGCATGTAGGGAATTTCTCATGCCTCAGCAGGAAGCTGGAATCTCCTCTCACTCCTTCACTGAGCTCTCTGAACACCCACATGTAGAAGGCATACCGGCAAAATCCGGGCTAATCTTGGTGTGTACTCTGTGGCTACTCTCATCCGGTAAAAGGAGGTCAAATGACCCTTATTCTCTACTTTTTAAAAAGCTACATTTTATACTCTGTTGCTCAACGCTGTGACACAAACACTGTCCAAGCAAAGTGTGGAGAGTTATCTGAAGCTTTTGAGAGTTGATTTCAGTATTTTATCTGAGAAAGAAGCAGCAGCAGCTGTGGAAGGAAGGCAAGACACAATAAAGGACCGAAATGGAACATGACCCAGAGCAGGCGAGGAGAGTTGGTTTACAATGCAATCAACATTAAGGAAATTGGTTTGCGCCAGCGCTTTGAGTGGAGCGGGGGTGATTGATGCTAAGTTAGGCTAGCAGGAAGGAAGTGGAGAAATTAGCGACAGGCCAGGGCACCGAGAGCTGTCAACTACTTCCTGGTTAATCTGGGGTGTGAGGTAGCATGCCTCCATCCTTTGCGCACCATTTGGGTTAACACATGAAAACACAAAGAAAAATGATTAGATTTTCCTGGCCTCTTTGGTGTTTCGGACTCACTTGCCTTTACAGACAAGTCTTCAACAGTAACCCTGCACAGTCTGCAGGGCACTGTGTCAAAACTTGGCTCCACGCATGCCAACAGTGTAGCCATGTCAAGCCCCTGACAATAGTAGAAGTAACACACAGACGCTGTAATTAAGCACGGCAACAGAGGACAGACAGTGGAGAAGACACAAAGATGCCCTTGATACCCGAGTGTTGAGCTGACAGCATTTCCTCTGACAGCTTCAGCTCACAGGCCACCACAGAAGCCCTTACGTCTCCTGACATGTGCTTTACTCATCTCTCCCACGATATTTCCTCAACATGCGGAGCAACAAAAGATAGTATGAGAAAGGGATGGGGACAGATGGAAAGAGATGACTTTCAAATCATGAATCTGCTTCATTTTCTGTGTGCATACACTGCATTCTGAAAATTGGAAAGGTAATTTGTGGCTGTGGCTGATGCATATCAGCTCTAGATTTCCTGAATGTGCATTTGCCCCATAGACTTGTATAAAAAGAGGGCAGTCTCTGGGGTCTTCTGTTGCTGAAGAGGGAAGCCATAACATCCTGTCTACACGCACTGCCATGTTATATTTTTTGCACACGGATGTGGTACAGAAAGTCAGCCGTCTCATGCTCTTAGGTCTACAGATCAGCTCCTCATCACCATCCCTACGACATGTTTGAGGACTCGCGGGGAAAGGGCTTTTTCTATCTGTGCCCCAAAACTGTGGAACTCAATACCCCTCATGGACGTAATTTTGGGGGGGACAGGGGGGACATGTCCCCCCCACTTTTCCAAAGTCAAGTTTTGACCCCTGCACTTTTTACCATCCAAAAACAATATTACGCTATATTAAACTGACACTGGTTGAGCTCTAGGACCAAGCAGAAAACAACCGTTTATGTTGAAGCCTGTTTCCCATTAGAGCATACTGTAAAGATCCCCCCCCCCCCTGTCCCCCCCACTTCTAAAGTGAAAATTACGTCCATGCTACCCCTTCAGGTTAGGCAAGCACCCTCACTTGCCGTCTTGAAATCTCAGCTAAAGACACACTATGTCTCCTTGGCCTTCGATTTTTAAAGCATTACTCATTTAAATTTGGTTCTTTGATTTGAAATCTGTGGTCTGGCTACTTTTACATTTTTAAAGTTGTTATGGTTACAGTTTGTTTGGTTGACCGTACTTTGTTGTACTATTTTTTAGATTGTTTTTATGGTATGACTATTTTATGCTATGTATTTTTTTTATTATGTGCAATGCTTTGGATGGCTGTAATGCTATGTTAAAGGCTCTTTAAAAGTGGTATGGTCACACCTACATACCTGCACACAGCATTCTAATACATATATATATATATATATATATATATATATATATATATATATATATATATATATATACATGTGTGTGTGTGTGTGTGTATGTATATATATACATATATGTATATATATATATATATATATATATATATATATATATATATATATATATAGATATAGATATAGATATGTATGTATGTATGTATATATAGCTGTCAGTCTGAGGGGACTTCTGAAGGCTACTGCAGCAATCAATTTCCCTCTGGGATTAATAAAGTATTTTTGAATTGAATTGAACATTCAGTGATTCCAGACTCCCAGTGCAACTAGTGCGTGTCGGAATAATGAACATCAGGGCTTGGACTGCATAGACTGTGCAGTAATCACCGTGTGAAATCAAATATATAGAAAATATTTACAAAACAATTATTCATCACTTGAAATTTTGCCTGCGGTATTTGGATTATATTTAGAAGAATGTGCTTTGCGCATTTGCTCCTTGAATGGGAGTTGTGTGTGCAGCAAACATAGTCTGGTCAAAAGCCTAAATAAAAACATATGAGAGAATACTTTAAATCATTATCTCCAGTATGCTCTGAGATATTTGGTTGCCAAAAATGGTATAGCAAAATGCCAAATGCTATTTTCATTTCTTTCTTTTTTTTTTTCTTTTTTTGTAAATTGAGTTACCAGATTGTTTTAAGACCAGCGTGGTAAAAGTGAGATGGCCATTACAAAAAAAGCCCATCCTTTACAAAACACTCAGTTCCCCTCAGACAGGATTGAGTTAATGTCCCTCACCTCTCACCACCGATCCTCTCATCCCTTTGCTACCCCTCATGCTTTGCCGTGACTCGCTGGCTTGATTTATCTGATGGAAGGAATTCTGTGTAGAGCTCTGGCTCTGGTGGTATCCTTATACTGTAACCTTTTCCCCTCACCAGATGTTCCTCTCTCAAAACATGGTAATGATTACCCCCAAATCCCCGGGACAAACATATCAAATGGTCGCTACGTGTTTACGTGGAGCAGTGGTCGACACAAGTGACACCGGCAGCGACACGAGTGTTGAGCGGGAGGGGGGTGGGGGGCAGATGAGAAGGAAAGGGAAGAGAGGAACAGACAGACAGGGAGATGGAGATGTCAGACATATGCTCGCGCCAGCTGACGACACTGGGATGACCCGAAGGAGTAAGGGGAGATAGGGGGCACAAAGAGGCCGATAACTCCCACAAATGCTGGAATGGTTGATACTTTGAGTTCAGCAGTTTCCTGGGATCTGAGCGCCTGAACTGATTTATTAGAGCCTACCTTTTTTACGCAGGATTTTTGTTTTACATGCTTTTGTGATTCCGTGCATTACACCAAGGGCTGAAGATGTCAGTGCAGCTGCTATAAAACAGGCTTTTATTAGAGGTAGTACATGTTGGAAGGATAAGTTAGAAAATATGACAAAGCCTCAATTCTATGCCTGTTGTGAAGCAGAACAAGACAAGGTTAGGACAACGGGTCAGACTAAAATATTGATTTTAGGGTAGAAGGTTTCACTTCTTAGCTCACTTCACACGACATGTTTACAGAACATGAAAGACGTTTCTTTCCACTTCGACTCATTACTAATTATCCCAAATGTACCCTGCTGAAAAATATAGCATAGACCAGCATAGCTGGTTACCAGCATATGTTATTTTGGTGCTGGTATGCTAGTCCAGCATGGGATCCTCGTGATGGGATGTTGGAGCAGCTTTGTATGGTGGTCAACCAGCTAAACCAGCACCAAAACACAACATGTGCTGGTCTATGCCGGTTGTTTTCAGCAGGGAGACTACAGAAGTTAGCAGTAGCTTGAGCTGTTGTTAACATTCATGTGCCAGCATTAGCTTGGGCTACATTGGCTCAAGCTAGCGTTAGCAGTAGCTCAGGCTAGCGTTAGGCAGGGCTGCCAACACTCACGCATTGAGAGTGACACCCATGCATCTGACCCCCTCCACACACTCTCACACCACACCTCTAATTTCTTACGCTGAAAACGAAACCCCTCAACCCCACATCCCGCACTCACAGACAACGGGGGAAGGAAACGAGTCCTTCAACCTCCTAAAACCTTCGCTGACTCGGAAGGAGGCAACATGTATCCAACCCCCACCCCCACATCCCACCCTCGCTCTCACGCAAGAAAACTTTAAAAGATGACTTCTCTGGCGTTTTTCAGTAGCTTGGGCAGGCATTAACAGTAGCTCAGGCTAGCATTAGCAGTAACTCAGGCTGGTGTTGTTAGCTTAACAGCAAACGTTAACATACTGCTGACGTTAAAGTGGGATGGAATATGCTAATTTATGGGTGTGTGTCTTGCTAATTATGTGTTAAATGAGCATTTCTCAGAACAAATTGTTTCTCAGCTGTCATTACTACATTACTAGTTTTCATAGGAAAGTAGGACAGCACAGACTTTTTGGTATGCTATATTAGACACCCCAAGCTGCTTATATTCAACAACAATAAGATAATTGTGATTTCAAATTCTAGGTTTGCTTTAACAAATGAAATCATCTTCACTCCGGTAATCTTCATTCTGACATTGAAACTTGTTTGCTGGTGTGAAATATTTAAGAGAGACAAAAAAACTGAATGAATCGGTGAGGTAGTCAATACTTCTCAGAGCACCATAGATTTAGAGGGATGAGTCCAATATAAAGAGACATAATGATGATGACGATTCTGAAGAGGATGATGGGGGAGTAAGTTATGTCAAGGCCTTGACAGCTTTAACCGCCTCAGCCAATATTTGTCACATTCAGCGTGCATGAATTCTTGATTTGATGTGCCTTAATTGATTCAGCTCTGCCTGTCCCCGTCTGTCTGTCCCCTCTCACTCCCTGCAAATCCATCCTTACATTTTTCTATTCATCCACAGCTGAAAGGGCTTCAAGGTCCAGACAGGCTAAAAAAGTTAATCTTTTTTAAGGAAGGAGAGTAGCCAGTGATTGTTGACCTACCTGTAACCTCCTCTGTGATATAGTGAGCCACAAATGGTCGACACGATGGAGGATCAAGTGCTTCAAAGTAAGCCAGGCAGAGATAAAAACCCAACGAGCCCCTTAGATGATGGACGGGCTTTGTAGCAGGGAAAAGCCATCATGTAGCTACCATGACACCCCGGCTTTGGAGTACAGGCCCAACACATGTCACTTCATGTATCTGAAAGGGAAAGTGGATGAAATAAATTAGTGGGACAACCCTGGGAGACTTAAGATGGGTATGAGAAATTCAAGTACTAGTTGTGGAACATTCCACAAATGGTTTTCCCACATGTTTTGTTGCATTATTGTTTAGTTCTGATCAGACTGGGTTCAAATCTCACTTTTAGTTCAATGAGCCATGTTACCATAGCATTCAGACTAAGGCTATCCGTTCTGTACTTTTATAAAACAAAATAAATGTGCGTTTTGAGGTTTTAGGACAGCATTGTAGCTTAGCACGTTTACCTTGGTTGTTCTCCAGAAGGCCTTGTCTACCACAGCCAAAACTGATTTCCTCTTTTTGTATTTGTAACAATGGAAGAATGCAGCATTTATAAGTGGTTCACACTAAAAGTGACACCCTTCTCCTCTTCTTGTCCTTGGGCTCAATGGCTGATGAGAAAGGGACAAAGGAAGAATTTTTTGTGTAAACACCTCAGTCTGCGTGTTGTGTGTGTTGTGTAGCAGAGACATCAACCAGGGCTGCAGAGTGTTTTAAGGAAAAGCGCAACTGTACACCACAGATGGGGTTTTTTACCATTCTGGCAGTGCGGCTCCCACATACACATTGACAGACATCTAAGTCGATCTTATTGTAATAAGCCGAGAGTCTTTATCCTAGTTTACATGCACATTAGAAAACTGGCCTCTCAAATAAAGTTTGTTGCACTCCAGTACAGTAGGTAGTGACATGACTCTTTTCATGACGGCATTGCTCCGGTTAGCTTATAGCAACACAAGCAGTAAACAGAGGCTGGCGGGAATGAAGCAGATGGAACTGAAACAGGATGAATGACTGAAGGAATGTACAACAACAACGTTGCTGCACAGCTTATTTGGTATGTACTGTCCTGTTTTATGGTGTTACACGCGTTGCTTTGTGACAGTGGTCTTGTCAGAAGACCGCTGCGACAGTCTCGTCACTTCCAGAACGCGAGCGTCCAACCAGTTCACATGCAGAATCTATTCAGATGGCTACCACATTATCTGGGTGCTTCAGCTCGATTCCGCTGTCAGCCAAACTAACACGTTTACATGCATTTTTAAAAAACGATGTGAGTCCTTTTAGGACAGTACTTCGGCTTTCTGATGCGCTTGTAAATGCATTCAGTAGCCTACAGTAGAATTCACTCTCTAGACATTTTACAAATCAAAGTCAGTTTGCGATTCATCTATTGTTACTTTATGGTGAAATTGACCATGAGACTCTTATTCTTATGCTGTCAAACTTCATCATATTATCAAATCTGTGCATCATCACAGCATACATAAGGAGATTTGAAAATGTATAGTCTTGTTTTTTTTATCTATTTGATTAACAACATTTACAAGAAAGATTGGTTTTGATTCCCAACTCCTTTGCAACTTGTGCTTT